AAACAGAAAATGGCAAGTCTCCCACTAAAAGAAAAAGCTAATTTCTCTGGGAAAAATCACTAGGATGATATTTTCCACTATAGAGAAACAATAGTCTTATGGTAGCAGCCTTTTCAGTCTTATGTAAATAAAGTTCTTTTGCCTGAACATCATCATAATTTTAGTTTCCTAAATTCTGTCTCAGGGATGCTTTAGAATTACATCATTGGCCAGTCTGTTACAAGAATATACAGTTCAGCTCTAAAAGAAATATCATCCATTTTATCTTACCAATAACAAAAAAACATACATCTTTGACAGCATGTAGTCATTAAAAGTGTTGTGCAGTGTAGTCATCACTGCAGTATAAACAGCAGTGTAGTCATTAAAAGAAAAAGAATAATTTATTTTCAGGGACATACATTAATTTATCTACTGTGATAAGAGAAGGTCAGATATTTGCCTTCACTAATTCACTATTCACACCAGCAATTCCTATTTGGTCATAGTAATTGCAATAGTAAAATATCACACTATGAATGGAAGAATATCATATTTTAAAAAACAAACAAATCGTATATGCAGAATAAAGAAGTTTTATTAAGGATGAAAGGATACACTATATCATTTGAACTGATAAGATTTAGAATTTATTCTATCATTTGTTTTTCATACATGCTTGAGAATGTCTATAACTTTAAAAATACACTTAAGGATTTGAAATACGTTAAAACTTCCCAGATACATTAGTTAAATAATCCAAAAGAATAAATAGTCAGCGATAAATATAATGAAGTCAAAGGGGTGGGTTTTTAAAAATTTTTTTTTAAAAAAAATCAAGGTTATTTTCTTGGCAGCAGTATGAGTGATTTCCCATTACTTTCTGGAATATTTTTCAACTCCCAATCTAGCCTATATTTATTATTGATTTCAGGTAAGTGTTTAGTAGCACTCATAATTATCTTTAACTTTTCCATCTATTACCTTTTAAGTTTTCCTTCATATAGCAGAGAAGAACTCAAGTTATAAACTGATAATTATTCATGAGAAGACATGAATAGACCAGTTTTATCTAGTTGTTAAGGCATCAGGCTAGAAACTGGGGGACAGTGAGTTCTAGTCCCAAAAGTGATGCACTACAGTAGCCCAGCAGGTTCCCAGGAAGAAGGGCGCATATTCCAAGGAGGGGTGAGGCCAAAAAAAGCAGAGTCCAGAGCTGGATCATGGAAAGAGAAAAGATTGAGAATAAACACTACCTAGAACAGTGATGGCTAACCTTTGCATCATCGCATGCCAAAAGTGCATGCTTTTGCAATGTGCGCATGACCCCTGCCCCTGCACATATGCGCGTGACACCACCCATGCACCAAACACCTCTGTGCATGTGCACTCGACCCACCACACCGCGTGCCTCTGCACATGCACGCACCCCCGCACTTGTCCCACCCCCTGTGCATGTGTGGCAGATACTCAACAATCATCTGACGGGGGGGGGGGCATGCATGAACTCACAGTAGATCTATTCCAGGCGACGGCTCTCATGCCAGCAGAAATGGCTCTGTGTGCCATTTCCGGCACATGTGCCAAGGTTCGCCATCGTGGCCCTAGAATCTTCCAGAGCAGGGGTCGCCAAATTTTTGGACCTCAGGGACCACCAAACTCATAATTTTAAATCCCAGGGACCACTAATATGAATTTTGACTGACGGTAGCTTGCTGACGGTGGGAGAGAGAGAGAGATCTGATCTAACTTCTCTCTCTTCCTCTCTCTCTCCCCCCCCCCCCTTTCTCACACACACAGAGGCAGGGGTGGGATTCAAATTTCTTAACAACCTAATTTGTGGCAGTGACTTGGTGGTCATGTTACTGGCTGGGCATGGCTTGTATGTAAATATTATAAATATTTATGTAAATATCGAATCTTTTATAAAAAAAAGCAACTTTTACCCAAAATCAGGCAAATCAGGCAGGCAGATTGAGTTGCTCACAGAATCACAGATTCACTCAGAGATCTATCTTTCTGCCATTGGCTACCTGAGTCTGTACTGAATAATAGAAGCTTCAGTCCTAAGGAAGGTTCGGCTCTGCTTAAAAGGAGAGCCGAAGATCTAAAGATTAACTAGAAAGCAAGAAATCCAATCCAATCTAAATCTCCTGGTACAGCAGAACAGCTGATGGTTGGGGAGGGGGGGGAAGGAAAAATAGCAACTTAGCAGGCAAGTTTGCCAGGTAAGGAGTGAGTGGGTGGGGAGGGTTCCCATGGGCCATGTGGGTGGCACAACCTTGTATTCCTGTGCAGCCCTGATTAATTGCTTTGGGGGGTGCTCTGGGGGTGACATTTCTTTGTGGACCGCCATCATTTTCTCACGGACCACCGGTGAGCTGTGGCCCACCGGTTGGTGGCCACTGTTCCAGAGTATATCCATTAGATTAGACTAGTATAGATTTACACTGGCAAGATTCTATCTATGTGGTGTAAACAAATAAAGAACTGAACTTTGACTAGATTGTGTTTTGTTGTTCTTGTCCTAGGCCTGACATCTATCTTAGATATGAAAGCCAGCTGGATAATTTTATGTCAATCACTCTCTCTTGGGCAACCCACTTGACAGGATTGTTGTTGTGGGGAAAAGAGCATTAAGTTTGTTTGTTGGCTTGAGTTATATTTGAATGAATTGGCATCTTCAGTCTCAAGAGACTACGGTATCGTGCTCTGAAAAGAGGTCCCAAAACAGCATCTAGTGCGGCTAAAAAGGTCAAATTGAGAATGGCAATATTTTCCACACTGAGGACAGATAACAGTCTGCCTCCTGTCCAGCCCCCGGATTTCGCTGGTTTCGGGACTGCCTGCTGAATAAGTGTCTCTTCGAATTGAAGAAGGCCATGCTGCATCTTTAGCCTCCAAGCTGAACGATCAGAGGTCAAGGTTTCCCAGCTGTTGATGTCCGTTCCCAAGACCTTTAGATCCCTCTTGCAGATATCCTTATATTGCAGCTGTGGTCTCCCTCTAGGGTGTTTTCCCTGCATTAATTCTCCATACAGGAGATCTTTCAGAATCTGATCATCAGCCATCCTCACGACATGCCCAAGCCAGTATAGATGTCACTGTTTCAATAGTATATACATGCTAGAAATTCTAGCATGTTCCAAAACTATGCTATTTGGAACTTTGTCGTGCCAGGAATACGTTGGAGACAGTGCATATGAAAGGTGTTCAACTTTCTCTCCTGCCGTGGATAAAGGGTCCAAGACTCGCTGCAGTACAAAAGTGTGCTCAAGACACAGGCTCTACAGACCTGAATCTTTGTATGTTCCATCCGCTTAAGCCATACTCTCTTTGTAAGTCTGAAAAATGTGGTGGTTGGTTTACCAACACGTTTATTCAGCTCAGTGTCTAAAGAGAGAGTGTCAGAGATAGTTGAGCCAAGGTACACAAAGTCATGGACGACTTCCAGTTCTTGTTCAAAGATTGTAATACAGGGAGGTGAATCCAGGTCCTGACCCATGACTTGTGTTTTTTTCAAGCTGATTGTTAGTCCAAAATCTTGGCAGGCCTTGCTAAAACAATCCATAAGTTGTTGAAGGTCTTCGGCAGAGTGAGCAGTAACTGCAGCATCGTCAGCAAAGAGAGAATCCTGTAAGCATGTCAGCTGGACTTTGGTCTTTGCTTTCAATCTAGAGAGATCAAAGAGTTTTCCATCTGATCTGGAGATAAATACCTTCTGTTGCAGTTCCAAAAGCGTGTGTCAGCATGACAGCAAAAAAGATCCCAAATAGACTTGGTGTGAGGACACAGCCGTGCTTCACTCCACTTCGAATATCAAAGGAAGCCATCAAAAACTACTGTGCCCTTCATTTCCTCATGAAAGGACCTGATGATGTTGACGAGCTGAGGTGGACATCCCATCTAGGAGAGGATGTTATAAAGGCCATCCCTAATAACCAAGTCAAAAGCCTTCGTAAGATCTATGAATGTTACAAAAAGTGACTGTCTTTGTTCCCTGAACTTCTGCAACTGTCTAAGGGAAAATACCATGTCAATAGTGGACCTATTGGCTCAGAATCTGCACTGTGATTCTGGATAGACTCTCTCTGCAAGCATCTGAAGCCTCTTCAGTACAACACGGACAAGCAGCTACTCTACAACACAGAGATACTGCGGTAATTATTACAGTCACCCCTGTCACCTTTGTTCTTATACAGCATGACAATATTTGCATCCTTCATGTCCTGTGACACTCCACCTTCCCTCCAACAAAGACAGAAGATTTCATGCAGTTCAGTGGGGATGATCTCTTTGCAACACTTCAGAACTTCAGCAGGGATGTTATGTTTCCCGGGTGCCTTGCCAGAGGCAAGGGAATTCAAGGCCACATTGAGTTCTTCTAAAATTGGTTCACTCTCAAGCTCCTCCAAGACAGGCAGGCATTCAATGTTATTTAATGCTTCTTCAATTACAACACTTTCTCTGGAAAATAACTCAGAATAGTGCTGCACCTAGCATACCATCTGCTGTGCTCGGTCCTGGATGACCTCACCTGTAGCCAACTTCAGGGGGGCAGATTTCTTCTGTATTGGACCTAAGGCCAGCCTGATGCCATCATACATCCCTTTGATGTTGTCTGTGTCAGTTGCTATCTGGATTTGAGAGAAAAGCTGCAGCCAGTAATCATTAGCACGTCTCCTGGTGGTCTATTGGGCATTACTACAAGCAGCTTGCAAAACCTGTAGATTACACTCACTGGAACAGGCTTTATGTGCAATTAAAACTCTCCTCTTTTCCTCAATAGCTGGTGTCAGCTCCTCCAAGTGGGCTTCAAACCAATCTGCTGTCTTTCTGGTCTTCTTACCAAATACTAACAAGGTGGTGTTATAAACAGTATTCTTGAAATGTTCCCATCATTCAGGTGCATTTGTTTCAGCTGGGCCTGGGAGAGTTTCCTTGAGTGCTTGAGCAAATTCCTCCACTTTCTTCTGATTGCAAGTCTTGCTGATGTCGATTCGTGGTCTTCCTTCTTTGAGTGATACAATCTCTTTGTTTGCAGTTTTATTCTGCTGCACACCAAGGAGTGGTCTGTATCACAATCAGCATCCTGATAGCTGCATGTGATCATAATACTGGGAAGGCTGGGTGCCTGGTGAGAATCAAGTCGAGCTGGTGCCAATGCTTCAATCTTGGATGCCTCCAGGAGACTCTGTGTTGAGACTTTGTATTAAAGAATGTATTGCTAATGCAAAAACCACAATAGCAGCAAAACTCCAGCAGGCGTTGGCCATTTTTGTTCATCTTCCCAACACCGAACTGACTTAAACAAGTGGGCCAAGAACCATGGTCAGCTTCAATTCTGGCACTGAAATCACCAATGATAAACCATAGTTCTTTCTCAGGGATTTTCTTCATAGCAGCAGCCAGATTGTCGTAGAATTCATCTTTAGTTTCTACTGAAGATGATAATGATGATAAAATAATAACTTTGACTATATTGTGTTTTGTTCTTGTCCTAGGCTTGACACCTATAGATATGAAAGCCAGCTGGATAATTTTGTGTCAGTCACTCTGTCTTGGAAAACCCACTTCACAGGATTGTTGTTGTAGGGAAAAGAGGAGGAAAGAGCATTAGGTTTGTTTGTCGGCTTGAATTATTATTACCTTTATTATCAGAGTACAACATATGTACAATGAGATTGGCTGAGCCTCCCTTCATGTACCCCACCCAACACAACTCACAGGGAGGACAGAAGTCCCTAACCCAGTCCCAATCTTGACCTTGTTGCACAATGTGCCAGCCCCGTTAGTCTATCATACTATGTTGACATGAAGTTATTTTCTGTTCAACACAACTCACAGTGAAGACAAAAAAGAAAAAATCCTAATCCAGCGAATCCTACTAACAAACATACTATCTTATTGGACTATGTGAACTTATTGCACAGCGCGCCGGTCCCACAAGTCTATCGTACTATATTGACATGAAGTTATTTTTCATTCAGGAGTCTTCAGCCTGTTGGTACGTCTGGCTATGCTTCTATATCTCCTACCTGATGGCAGGAGAGTGAAGAAGTGCTGACGGGATGTGAGTCGTCCCTGAGAATTTTCCTCACTTTTCTAAGGCAGCCAGCCCTAGCAATGTTATCTAGTGGTATCAGGGAACAGCCCACAATGTTTTGTGCTGTGCTCACCACCCTCTGTAATGTCTTTCTATCCATGGCTGTCAAACCAGCATATCACACCGTAATGCAAAATGTGAGGATGCTTTCTCTTGTGGACTGGTAAAAGGAGGTCATGAGTCGTTGTTCCACTTTATTCTTTTGCAAGACCCTAAAGAAATGGAGTCTCTGTTGGGCCTTTCTGGCCACCTGGGTTGTGTTGATTTTCCGGGTAAGATCTTTACTGAGGTAGACTCTCAGGAATTCAAAGGAGGAAACTCTCTCCACACAGGCCCCCTTGATGTAAAATAGGGTGGGTTCCTCTTCTTCCAGAAGTCTAACACAATACAATATACATAAAAATAATAAATGTGGAATTTTAAAAAAAAATCCAGAGATGGAAACTCAGGACAACTAGTTCTGGTGAAAATAGGGTACAGGAGTCACATCTGTTGGGACTAATTTATTCCAAAATGACTGTCTCTTGATCTTAATGGGATTTAAATAAGAACTGAATTTGGAATTATTTTGGCTACAAATTCTGCCCTTTGGGACCCAGTATCAAATGAATTGTTTAGGTGTATTCTGCCTTTCCTTCATGCTTCCATTTATTTATTTATCTATAGTATCTATTTATTTATAATTAATAAGGTCAATCTCACTCAAATAAGATGGCATATGTGGCATGCAACATGAAAACAAACAATGAAGAAAAAAATCTTACCATGTAACAATAAGCAAATACAAACTACTGTATAAAACGGTGACCAAGCACATAACAAAAACTCATAAAAAGCTCAATGAATTTTCAAATTCACTTAAGTTCTTTCTGTCTTCACCACCTTCTCCAAGTTAGAAGCTACTGATTTGCTTTGGCTTCTTTTCTAATGCCAGTAGGGTACAGAGGTGGGCTGCTGCTGGTTCACACCAATTTGGGCATACTGGTTGTTAAGATTCTGCACAGTTCGGTGAACCAGCAAATCCCACCACTGGCTGGCCTCGCCCAGCCCAGCCCACCCTATCTCACCTCACCCACCTTGGCTGGTGGCTAGAGTCATGCCTGTGCCCAGCTATTCCCTGGCTCCTTCACTCGCTCACCCAGACCATGTGGCCCAGCTGATCTCCATGCCTTGCCCACTCTGTTTTCTGTGGCAGCCCATGAAGGTAAGGTGCTTGGCTGAAGGGCTGCCTTGGGATGGACACAGTGAGGCTCAGCTGCCTTTTGGGCCTGGCTCTCACCATCCTTCCACTCGCATGCCAACTGCTCGCCCTTCGCCTTGGGTCAGGGAACATGCCAGTCCCTGGCTCTGGCCTTCCCCAGGCCTCTGCCAGCAGGCCAGGCCACCACTGTGAGAATGGCGTGAGCCTCATGGGCTAGAAGATAAGGGCAGGAAAGGAAGGTCTGCTCTGGGCTTGCTGTGCTAAGCAGAAGGACTGCCTCAGTTGCGGGGGAGACACATGGCAAGTCTCAGCCTTTTGGGCCCAACTTCAGCTTCTGCAGGGCTTTCCGGGTGCAAGGCCTGAAAGAAAATGCCTCCTCTGAGGGCAGCCCACTCACCCATCTGCCAGGTGGGCTGGCCTGGAAGCAGCATGTCTTTGTTGTGGGCTGGATGTGGGACCTGAGGTGGAACGGAGATCGAGCAGGCAGCAGCCCAGAGCAGGGCCCGAAAGGCAGCTGAGCCTCACCATGTTCCCCCCAACTGAGAAGCCTGCAGTTGCCACCTCTGCCAGCATGAGAAGCCTGCTGTCACCAGTCTTTGCTGGCACAAGAAGCCTGCAGCCGCTGGACTTTGCCAGCACGAGAAGCCTGCAGCCGCCGCTCCCGGCTCAGTTTTGGCTGGCAAAGCTGTGGCTGCTGCAGGCCCTTTGCAGCAGCAAAAAGTGGCGGCTGCAGGCTTCTCGTGCTGATAAAAGCAGTGACTGTGGGCTTCTCACACTAAGAGTGGCGGCTACAGGTTTCTCATGCTGAAAAAGCGGCAGTGGCTGTAGGCTTTTCACACTGAAAAAGACAGGAGGCTGCAGGCTTCTCACACTGGAAAAGATGGCCAGTGGCTGCAGGCCAGTGCCTCAGAGCAGGGTCATGTATCCAGCTGCACTAAGAAAGGCTGGAAGTAGCCACCGACCATTCCCTCCTGCAAACACCTTTTAAAAAAATCCTGTCAGGCAGTAAGCAAGAGATGAGGCATTGAAGAATCACTGTTGTTGCTGCTGCACAAAGGTAAATCTAAGGCTCTGGCCACCGCTGCTTCAGCCTGCCTGCACCACCCCACCTTGCTGTGAGTGACATTGAGTTGGCCATGCCCACTCAGTCACATGACCCTCCTCCCCAGCTGCACCCACCTGGTCAAAATATTAAAATCAATACTGAATGCTGGAAGCATAATTGTTATGTCCTGAGGACTCAAGGAGTTCTCACTCAGGTCCACTCACT